TATATACAATTGTAGCAATGAGGCAAGCACGCCTGCTTTTCATCCCGCCTGGCTGCCGCACGGCTAGCTTAGCCCTGGAAATAACAACACACAAATTGTATTCATTTAAACACTGCTTGGCCCATTAGCTCTAGCCTCTTACTGGCTCTCACATCTTGATTAACCCATATTTAGTAATCTATGTAGTACCACAAGTTGGTGGCTTACTGGGAAAGATCCTAATGTATGTCTGTCTAGGGTAGGAAAATCATGGCGTCTGCCTCACTCCCCTTCTTAGCATTCTGTTCTGTCTACTCCACCCACCTATGTTCTGACCTATCAGGCCAAGCAGTTTCTTTATTAATTAACCAATAAAAGCAACACATAGAAAGAAGATCCACCTACATCATGACAATAAGGATGCGTGTGTGTGTGTGTGTATATATATATATATATATATGTTCATCACGAAATGGGTATACACAAAGTTGGCAACACCATGTACATATCAACACAGTCCGCCTGTGTAGCCCTGGCTTTCTGAAACTAACTATATAGCCTAATCTGGGCACCCAAGAGTTCTGGAGTCACAGGACATTCTGGGGCTACAGGAAGAAACACTACACATAACCAAAGAAATTGTTCTTAGAGTAAAAAAATTTAAAATCTGTCTGTCTGGAATAACTGGACATCAACACAATCTTCCATGACAGGAGAATCTCCCACCACATAGGGAGAGCTGAGGACTCAGTCAGCTTGCCGAGGCCAATGACATTAAACTGTCAGAAAAAGTCCTGCTCACCAACATCTCTACCCTTGATGTTATTATTCCCCTCATGGGGGCCACTAGATGTTGAGCGTCAGGGTTCTCGGTAATTCTTTCCTCAGAATTTCTGTATCTCAAGCTCATTTTGATTCTTTCTTTTCTGCAGGACTACTGAGTCAACAGACCCATGGATCTGATTGGGGTGAGATCACCTGGAGGGGAGTTGGCATTTCCCTCACTGGTGAGTTCACAGCTGGAAAGGAGTGTCTTCTGAGGAAGAGGCCCTGATCCTAGGGTGGAGCGTGTCATGTGGTCATATGTGGCTTCTTTGGCCTCCTCAGTTTTCCCTCAAGAGCGGCTGTCAGAAAAGGAAAGGCAAGCACAGAGCAGCCTGGCTGGACCACAGGCTAGACAAAATCAGGGCCTAGACCAATACCTGCCAAAGAAATTGGTCTGAAGAGCAAAGAGTGGGAAATAACTTTTTTATTAATAGAAATATATTTATTTTACTCAATAGTTCTTTTAAGGGAGCACAATGTAAACACTAAATAACCTAACAAAATACCAAAACAACAGGAACAAAAGGAAGATAAAATGAATTCAAAACATCAAACCATAGCAAAGAAAACAAGAAAACCCAGAACAAACAAAACCCACGAAAAAAAATTAAGCTTAGTAGCTTGCTTAATTAAACTATTAGCTTAGTCTTGCTGCAGATTTTGTAGTGCAGTCCTACAGCCTGGGGCTGGCCTTGGAAACATGGTAGGAAGGCAGGTACCAATTGTGCAAGGCCTTTTCAAAGATAGCATAGCCATGCCTTCTTAGAAGGAGGAGGCCTTGATGCTAGGGTGGAGAACGCCATGGGTACAAACTGTCTTTTTTGGCCTCCTCCTTTCCTCTCAAGAGCAGCTGTGTGAGAAGGAAAGACAGTCAGTCCCAGAAGCAGCCTGGCAGACCACAGGCTAGACAAAATCAGGGCCTATTCACAGAGAGGAACCAAAGTCACTTAGCCTCCCACCCCCCTATGAATGCCATTGCATGGGCTGGGAAGCAAAGGTAGCTCACTTGCCTGTGAGACTTAGTGCTCCTGCTGCTGCAGCTCTGTCTGCAGGAAGCTCTTGTCCTGGGTTGTGACCCGTTCCAGCTCTGACTGGAGATTTTCTGAGCTGGAAGAGGAAAGCAGTTATGGAGCAGGCCTGGTGGGGACCTGCTAAGACAGCTACTGAGCCTGAAGCAGCTCTATTCAGCGGGACAATCCATCATTACTTTTCAGCTGAGGTCGTTCCCTGCATTCCCCAGGGGAGAAGGGTCAGAGTGCACCTGGTCCTGGATTTTTTTCCTTAGTTTTAAAATCTGCTAGAAGATGAACCAGGAACTACACTGTGCTGGGCAAGAAAACACAGCACATTTCTCCTGTTGTCTAGATACATTATTTTAGATAAATAACGATGTAGCAATGCCTGAGTAGCAGTTCAGGACAGATCTGCACGGCCTTGATTAGATACCAGGTGAATGGTATCAACCTGGGAAACGGAATGTAGACTCTCCAGGGGAACTTACACAACACTACAGTTTAGGCTCTGATTATTCCTACAGCACAGAAACCTTCCTGCACTCAGCTCCTCAAGTCCTAAATCTTCTCTTATAACCCCAGGAATCTTTCTCAGGAAACCAATGCACCCTGCAGAGGCTGTAATGAGCATCAGTGTGCTGCACGCAGATCTGCCCAGAGGCAGGAACTGCTCTCTAAAGCTGCTGTTCTGGAAGGAAAATAGAGTAGCAGGAGCACACAGTGTCCTCCACAACTAACCCCCTCCTCCTAGGGTTAGGACCACCATAGGGAGATTTTGGGGGAGACACCCGGGACAAGGTACTGAGAAGATACCAGAGAGCTCAGAAGAAAATAAGGGTGCACAATTCCCAGAAACACTAAGGATCAAACATGGTGTTTCCTGGAGAAGTTCTTGATTAGGCTAGCACAGCATCCTGAGGTGATCTTTCCCTAATTGCAGCTGAGAGACATCCAGCTTGCAAGAGTCCCCAAAAAGACAGAATCCAGGTCCAGGTGAGCGACCTGGTTCTAACTGCTCCTCCCGCTGGGCTCCTACCTCATCTCGGGGACACTGAGATGATGCTGCAGCTTTTCTGCCAGGTCCCCGTGCTGGGTGACCAGCTCCTTCTGCTTCAGGACATTCTTCAGTCCTTCCTCCAGGCTTTCTTGCTCCTGTTCATTAGAAGATTGTGTTCTCACTGAAGGGTTGCCCACTCCCATGTACACAATGCACTCATGAATATGTACATGCATGTGACTGTCCAATACTAACACAGTGCAATACAATAGCATGTGTAGTTGTCCAGTTCACGCTAATATAAAGAGCAATCCCTAGGGATATTGTTGAGGAGGTTAACTTTTGTCAGAAGAAGGAAGAACACAGTGCGATTTCTTTGAGTAACAAATGGCTGATTAAGTCAGTGTCAAGTGATTTCATATATCGTCTCATGCTGAACAATATCCCACAGAAGGGCTCAAGCACACTGTACTTTTTCACTCTTTGAATGATGGACATCTGGGTAGTTTCTACTTTGAGACTCCTCTAAGGATTGCTGCTAAGACCCCGATGTCCCCTCGCTTCTCTGTGGACACCTACTTCATGTTCTGGACTCACTGGGTCACCTGGGGATTGCAGTTCGACTTTCTGAAGACTTGTGTGTGGCTTCTCACTGCACTACACAATTTTACAGCACCAGCAACGTCTGAGGGTCCTCGTTTCTCCAGTCCTCCGTGAGGCTGGCTTTAACTCAGAGTGAACAACTCTGAATCCGAGCAGGTACCGAGTGCTGCAGACACAGCACATGGTGAGCGCTTTAGACCATCGGGAGTCTAAGGGGGTGCACTGAGACAGCCCCATTCTGACGTCACAGCATGGCTGTGGGACTCTGCTGGACTGAGATGTGCTGGAAGCACACTGCACGTCAGAATCTCCCATCAAATAAAATCCAGGCCAAGCTTCAAGAACAAGGTTAACCGAGCCAAGGTTGGGCAAAGGTGGAAAAAAATGGTAACAGACAGTATGTATAACAACAAAAAGGGACAGAGAAGACATAGTGAGCCACCTGACCATTAAGGGTGCAGTCGCCACTCACCCAGAGCAGAGAAGGGACACAAACCCTCATCCAGCTAATCCTGCCTCTCAGACACCTTGATTTGCCACAGTGGCCTCCTCCTAAACTTCATGTACCACATTTCTATGGTTTGCTCCAAGGATTTCCTTGCAGATAAATATTTTTGCCTCTGCTAATACCTAACAACCACTGACTCAGAGCAGTTTTCTGTCGAGTTGTTCTAGACAGCTAGGTGGACATGAAAGATGGACAGAAAATTTGCGGTGCAGTGAATGCCTGGGCTCAAGAGAATAAGGGAGTGGACAACAGAGGACAGCACCGGATTTCACTATGCAGCCTGCAGACATATTCCCCATTGCACCCATTTACACAAGCCTGCATAGATACCCACAGACAACAGGAATCAGAAGTGAGCAGGAAAAATGAAGAGGACATCACAGTGAATGAACAGTTGAATTTAGAGTATGCTCATCGGGTGTTTCAACTGAGAGCCACAACACTGCTATCCATTCCTATCCATTCCTTGGGGGACTAAAAATGCCTAGGGGAGCACACAGCTTCATCAGCTTGTGTTGAGGTGATTGGAGAACATAATGGCATGGAGGTGTGATATGTGACTGGCGCATCTCTCTGAATGTTCTGTGGCTTCTAACAGAACAGAAGGTTTTGCTGGCCAAACATCTGGTTTCTTATAAGAGGCTAGCTCTACAGAGAATCTTGTGAATGAACACAGAAAGAACAACTGGATGGTATGTAGGTAGAGTCTGGATGGGTAGATGGATGGTTACATGGGTGTCTGTACATTTATGTTTGGACAGATGGGCAACCTGCCCCCACTGCCACAGCCTACCTGCTGCTGCTCAGCACAGGGACCACAGATCTTCTCATGCGCCTCCTTCAAGAGCCTCTTCGCCTCCTCACAGGTCTCTTGCAGTTCAATCTTCTCCTTCCGCAGCAATATGTTCTTCAGTCTCAACACATGTACTTTTTTCTTCAGCTGAGTCCGATCTCGTAGGACCTGGCCATGGCGGCAACTGGACCAACACCAAAACAATGGTGAGCTTCAACCAGCCTCCATATGCCATGCCTATGTCCATGTGCTACCCACACTGAAAGGTTGAAAACCCCCACACAGCCCAAGACTGGAGCTCTCAGGAGCCAAGCCAGCCTCACTCAGAGGCAGGCCAAATCCAGAGAATAACCAAATTCCAGGAAGATTCAAACTACTTCTAAAAGCCCTGGTAAGCAAAAGGTATCCTGTGCTTCTGAGAAGAGAACAGGGTGCAGCCCCACCTGTACTTAACTGTTCATGGTGTTCGGAAAGCCTCAACAGGAAGAGGACAAACATTCTCTGAAGGAGGGCAGAACTCCCAACAGGAATAAACTCTGCCTATGGAGTCTGTGGAAAGCAGCTCTGTGAAGTGTCTGCCAGACCTCCTTAGGTCATGGGCTCCCAGACATCCCCTTCATGATGTGAACCATTTTTCTAAGGACTCCTGAGGCTGGCAGGACAATGATGGGAGGACCTTAGTGTATTTTCACACTTAGCAAAACTGAGTCTAAAAGACACAAATCTGACAGCCACAGGCTAGGCTGCTTGCTAAGAGGCAGACAGTTTGGAATCAGAGCCTTCACTTTGAGTCAAGACATAGAAGGGTCTTGAAAAAACCCTCTCAAGCTAAATCAGGCACTTACCCGACCGATTCGGTCTCCTCCATCAGCTGATTGCACTTGTCCACAGCCTTACTGATCTCCCTGGGCAGTTTCAGCTGGTCAGACACCACCTGGTTATGCTCCATTTTGAGCATCTCAAACTCAAAATTCAGCCTGTGGTAGAGCATGGCCCCAGGAGAAAAGAATACCATGAACACATCAGCTAGGATCACATGAATGAGGCTTGTGTTATAGATTGCCCTAGCCCTGTGGATGTCACAGCCTGGCACTTATACACTGGGACCTTCTGGTGCTTTTTATATTTCCTATCCTGTCCCTAGGCAAGAAGAGGCAGGAGGTCCAAAGGGAGGGAGCCAGGGCTGGCTGCATGAGCACCCTCAATGGGCTTAGATTGGCTCTCTAAGAAGATCCCAGGAATCTGTGCCACATATCTAGACCCAGCAGAAACCTATGACGAGATTTCTCCTGTGTTCAGAACAGGGTGCCTAATTCCTGAATTTTAATTCCTGAGTGCCTCTTGCTACACAGAGGACCAGAGTACATAATCAGTATTTCCAGGGAGGAGTCCCAACTTTAGAATGACTTTCTAAATTCCACAGGAAATTTCAATGTTCCACCAAGGGCAGCACAGTGCCCAAGAGGTGAGCTGCTCAACGTGGGCTTCCCTGGCCTCAGCAGTGTCGTCACCTCAAAACTCAGAGAATGCAAAATCCTCAGGCCATGCCACAGACCCCAGACTCCCAGGAGCACACAGACACACATACACACATACACATGCACACACACATTTACACATGCACATACACATTCACACATGCACATACACAAAGATACACCACATGCAATCAGGATGCCCAAGAAATGCAGGGAGGTGGCATTGTCTCAGAGCATAAAGATCAAGACCAGAGAGGAGCAGTGATGGGCTCCAGGCCTTCCGGTGTCACACTGTGATGGATGAATGGGACCAGGCCCCTCCAGCTGCTGCCAGGAGCCTTCAGCTCACAGTTGTCTGCTGGTCAATTACAAAGCCTCACCACAAACTCACAGCGCCTAGCATCTCCCACAAGCCAACACCTGTCAAGGCCTCTTGAAATGAATGCTGAGAGCTCACACACTACAGTCTCTAGCCGCAGACAATGATTCAGGCCACAGGCTCTGCTTTTCATTTGGGGGAAGCAAAACAGCCTCTGCTCCTATCTTACTCCAACCGAGGCTCCAAGTTCTACATCTTGAATGTACTTAGGAAAATTAAGCACCAGAACAACCTGGAGTTTCAGCCTCCTGTTACTCAGAAAACCTGGGATTGCTTTTGCAGTGTCAAGATGGTCAGCGGAGACCTGGGCATGGTGACTACCTGTTGTTCAAATCCTTGTCGGTGTAATTAGCCAAGAATTGACGCAGCTCATCAGCCTCACATGTCATTTCATGTAACTGATGGGTGAGTTCCTCCAACTTCTTCATCTGCTGCTGCTTCTCAGTGAAGGTGGAGAGTTGGGATGGTGCCTCCCCAGTAGTCCCTGCAGGCAGATAAAGACAAATTAACTTGTGTTCTTGAATGGCATAGGGCCAGGAGAGTCCATGCTGGATTCAAAGAAGCATAAGGATGAGAAAATGCTAGGAAGCCAGTGAAACTTCCAAAGAGCAGGGCAGCTGTCCTCAAACTGGGGCCCCCTGAGCTCCATATCATCAACCTCTGGATAATCATATGCATCACTCCCTGTTGCTGTCCCCTGGCCCTGGAAGGCATCAGCTAGCCCAGCCCAGTAGAATTGGAGGGCAGTGTCAGCTCACATCTGATGTGATGCAGGTGAGTCCTGTTGTCCCTAGTGCTTAGCAGCCCTGAGTTCTGATCATGTGTCCAGAGTCAAAGCATCTAATGTCTGAAGCCTTGGTGCATGGCCAGGGGGATTTCCCTCCATCTTATTGGCATCAGATTCCCATGGAAACTGAAAGAATCCACTGAGGATGAAGTGTACAGCAACACCCCAGCTAGAGAGAGACCCTCATTAGTCAATCTCTTCCTCCTGCCCTCTTTTCCACTCAGAATGAAATGAAGGAGCTCCCAGAAAAGCATCTGCAGCCTGGACAATTCACGATCCTCCTAAATAACCATCAGAAACTCTTGACTCTGGGTCTGCTCTTTGGAATCTCAGAGAAGCAGTACAGGCCCATTGCTTCCCAGAAGCTCCCAGCTGCTGAGTTCCACTACCAGAAGGCCCCCGGTCACGTTCACCTCCTCCAGGAAGCCCTCCTTCTTCTGCTTAGCACACACCGTACCTGCCCCAGATCCACTTTTTTCTCATGTTATACTCTGGGAGCTTCAGACTTGCATGTTAACAGGGAAGCCAGGTAGGGGCAGAACATAGTCACCAGATCCACAAAGTCATCCTCACTGACAGCCCAGGACGCCCAGAGCTGGCAGGATGGGAACGATCCCTGCCCAAGTTCGCTAGCTCTAACTTCTCAGGATGAACTGGAGATCTGTGAGCCACCCACTGTGAGGAAGTTGGAAACCTTAGAGCTCACTGGAAGACAGCCACACTTTTTGACTCCTGCCCTGCTAGTGGCTGTGATGTAAAGTATGGGAACCTCAAGCTTCACCAGGGCACTCTCCTTTCCCTAGTATTAGTGACGCACAACCTAAAGGAATTTAGAAGGGATGAAGTGCAGTGATGGACCTGAAAACTCATTAAGTCCTCTGGGCCTCCTTCCCCACTCAGAGTGAAAACAGAGGGTACCCAACAAAACAGGTATAGCCTTGCCAATTCCTGACTCAGCCAAACTAATCATCATCAATCCTTGATATGGGTTTGCTCTTTAGGATCCCAAAGAAGCAGGATAGGCCTATCGCTTCCCAGTTCCTGAGTCCTAGCCCTAGAAGGCTCAAGCCCACCACATCCAGGAAACTCCCCATCCCCTTCCCTGAACTCACTGCGTCTTCCCCAGGACCATTTATTTCTTCCTGTTTTCTGATGAGACCTAGGGCCTGCTTCCTTCTGCCTCCCTCTGGTCTCTCCTTGATCTCCATTCTCTCTCGCAAGTAGTCTCCTCAGTCTAGACAACATGTCTATAAGCGAATCTTACAGCCACTGAACGAACGTCCTGAGGGCAGTTGAGTTGCTACAACACAAGTGACATCACAGGATTCCAAGAGCTCCAGGATACAATAGAATTTCCAGAGAGGGGACTGCTGATGTCACGGGCACAGCCTTTACCTTCTTGCTAATTATTGCTCCTTGAACTGACCAGAAGCTGAGTTTCAATTCCATGAGTCTTTCCTGTGACATAAGGGAAGCCATTCAGCACTTCCTCCTTCCAACACTAGAGATTTCTCTCTGCTTCATTAGAATCTTTTCACTGCTCTGCCCACGGAGAGTTGAATTGACTTATTAAGCACTGCCCAAGAACGGCCCTTCCCCTCCTGAACTCAATAATATGAGAAATAAAGCATGCCAAGAAATTAAGTCAGAATGATGTGGAAGAGGAGGGTTGAGTCCTCTGAAGTGAAAAAGCACCTGGGGAATGCTAAGGTTATGGGAAAGTGGCTGTTGATAATTTGTAAGTGAGCAGAGACTGTTATGAGACCCAAACTGCTCTAGACTGTCCTCTCTCCATGCCTGTGTATTAGTCAGGGCTCTCTAGAGTAGCAGACGTTATAAAATGGATCTCTGTGTATATTGAAAGGGGATTTAATTGAATGCCTTTCAGGTTGTGCTCTAGCTAATCCAACAATGACTGGCTATGGATAGAAAGTCCTAGAATCAAGTAGTTGCTCACTCCACAAGGCTGGTGTCTCAGCTGGTCTGCAGTATATGCTGGAATCTTAAGGAGATGGGCTCTAATGCCAGTGAAGGAATGGTTCTGCTAACAAGGAGAGAGCAAGCAGAGAAAGGGTAAAAGCTTCCTTCCTCCATATATGCATATAGGCTTCCAATAGGAGGGTTCTAGATTACATCTGGATTAAAGATCTGAATTAAAGGTGTGACCTCCGCCCTCAAAGATCCATACTTGAAGTCAACCTTCCTACTTCAAATTAAGAAGAAATCTCTCATTGGTGTGCCCTTGATTTTGCGATTTTAGTTAATACCAGATGAGTAACGTTGACAACCGAGAAAAGCTGTCACAGTCGTGTTCCCTTCTTCACTAATATTCATGAGCTAATGTCTCCCTTTGGGAGTGAAAGGAAGGACTGGTGATAGTCAATATGTACTTCTAAATCAGCTGGAGATCTCATGGTCATGATGACTTTTAGTGATCTCCGTATGACCATGGATGGCTAAAGCAGGATGAAATACCAGTCTTTCGTTTCTTTGGTAGGAGGGGACTAACTAGAAATCCAGTTACAGAAGAATCTGGTTTACCTGCAGAATTGAAGATTTGAAATTCAGATAACTATGTTATACCTGGTAGAAACTGTGGTGGGAAAGGGTACAAGGTGCAGAAAATGGGAACTCTTTAAAGAAAAGCAAAAACACTCTTCCGGCAGGAAGAGGGGGGTGTCAGAAAGAGCCACATGAATTTGGACTAGAACTCCAGATCACATGTTACCTACTCCATGGATCCTGTGAAAGAAAAGAACTCCTGGCTAAAATAGGAGGACCCAGGGAAGACTTATGTGACGTCTTCATTGTAAAGACACCCCAGTAGAAGCCTCTGGTTGCTTTCATAACAAAAATGGTTTATTAAGATTTGAAGTTTCCATGGCAGTCAAAGGGGCAGGATTTGGAGGCAGCAACAACAGGAAACCCATCATACTCCAGAGCTAAACCATATTCTAGACCTCACCACTGACACTAGCATGATGAGTGTGGACACTGCAGTTTGTGTCACCAAAGACACCAACTTTACATGATGTACCTGGTGCTGCTTTAGAAGCTTTCAACATCTCTATCTTTAAGAATGGGATACAGCCTTCCCCAAACCATCAAGTACAACACACTCCTCCATTTCTTTACAACATAAGCTCTGGCATGCAGTTGATGGCTCAGGCTTGTATTTGGGACCTATCCTCTGTAGTAAGGGGTAGGGCTTCTGATGGGAAGTCCTCCACCAAAGCACTGGAAGAATGGTCATGTCTACCCTGCAGCCTCCAGAAGGGGCTTCAAGAAGTAAAATTTACCAACTGCTCTTAGTTTCCTTAGAACATTTTTATCAAATGCTTCATTTGTATCTATTGATGTAATCATGTGATTTTTCTATTTTATTCCATCCAAATGATAAGACACATGGATAGATTTTGTAATTCCTAACATTGTTTCCTTGGGAGCACACAACTTGTTCCACTATATTTTAATATGTGGGTGGGTTTACTTATAATATTGATATCTATGTAAATAAGTGAAAGTAGGCCTATAACTATTTGGTTTTCTTAATTTTGTAAACAAGGCTAACATAACCTCAAAAGAATAGGTGCAGAGCCAGACATGGTGGTATACCCCCTTAATCCCAGTACTTAGGAGGTAGAGGCAGGCAGACTTTTGAGTTGTAGGCCAACCTGGTCTACATAGTGAGTTCTAGGACAGCCAGGCCACACAGGGAAACCTCCACTAGAAAAACAAGAAGCACGGAGTTGAGGCTCTGTTCCATTGTGTTTGGGAACAGCTTTCACTGAAAAGCCATTGCTGAGGTGAACACAATGGTTCCAGCCTGTAACCCCAGCTCATAGCAGGCATAGACAAGAGGATTACTGTAATGTTGAGTCTGCCTGGTGTACATAGTGAGTCCTAGGCCAGCGAGAGCCATATAGCAGACTGTGTCGTATTTGAAAAGGGCATTATCTCTTCTCTAGAGCTAGTAGAATCTAGACTTTTCCTGTGAAGCAATCTGAGCCTGGAGATTTCAGTGTGATGAGGTCAATTTCTACCTAAGTTCCTTGTTTTATATGGCTTCACCTCAATATCCAACAGAAACAATTGGGAGTGGAACGGTTTATTAGGACTCAGTCCATCTCAGCAGAGTAGAGAGGTGGAGAAGCTCAGTCTGTGGAGGTGGGAGGCTGAGGTTGTTTCCATGGCAGCATACCAGAAAGCTGCCCATAGGCTCAAGGAGCTAGTCCAGAAGTAGGCCTAGACCAGGCTTTACTGCACAGAGGTAGAGCTGTAGTGACCTTCTTATAGGAAAGCCCCTCCGAAGAGTCCCCAACCTTCAGAGGTAGCAACAATGGGTGGAGAACAGCTGTTCAAAATGTGAGCCAGCCCTGTGGGGAGGTTTCTGAGATGCTCTAAAGCAGAGCCTGAATGGAGGAAGTAGCTCTCTGGGGAGGGAGGTACTGGGAATTATCTTGTCCTGCCTGGCCCCTTCCCATCTCTGTGCCTCTGCGTCCTGTCAGCCATGAGGAGAAATTCTCCCATTCATCTTATATTGCTACTATGGTGTCCTAACCAAGTCAATGATCTTGAGCATCCACAGATTGAACCCACGGGAAGTGCTCAGCAGGATAAACCCTTCTCTTCTTAAGTCAGTGGTTCTCAACCTTCTTAACACCTTTAAGACAGTTCCTCATGTCATGGTGACCCCCTAACCATAAAATTATTTCCTTGCTGGGGCTTGAGAGATGGCTCAGTGGTTAAGAGCTTTGCCTGCTCTTCCAAAGGTCCTGAGTTCAATTCCCAGCAACCACATGGTTGCTCACAACCATCTGTAATGAGACTTGGTGCCCTCTTCTGGCCTGCAGGCATACACACAGATAGAATATTGTATACATAATAAATAAATAAATCTAAAAGAAATTATTTCCTTGCTACTCCATATGTATAATTTTGATGCTGTTATGAATTATAATATAAATGTTATGCAAGATATGTGATATACGACCTCTGTGAAAATGTCCTTTCACTGACCCAAAGGGTATGTGGCCCACGAATTAAAAACCACTTGCTAAGCCATGCTTTCTGGATTTTCATTAATAATATTATAAAACAGGATGAAATATTTTAGAGAAAATTCAAGTCAGGCAATTTATTATAGTAAACTAGTGTGTCTGTCGTTTTACATCTTAAGTCTTTATAGACAAGCTTAAATAACTAATATAAAGTTTACACACAGTAATACCATCTGCTACCTGAAAGCTAATGTACATTTTGCTATGTGGTGTGGTTCATAGGAAACAGGAGGTAGAGCTAAGTATTTGTTATGAGTACATATTAAAGTCATCTTTTAACTTTATTTGAAAATGCCAGGTCAGTGAGATCAGAGTCAATCAGTTACCTAGGCAAAATGTCACAGCCATGACAAGAACAGCCTTGGGTGGCAAACAGTTCACAGCTTTCTATGAACAAACCCACTTCCCTATAGCACTCATTCCAAAAGCTATTGTCAGATATCCATGCTTGAATGGTTGTGAAAGTATTAATAACAATTTCACTCATCAGAGGAAGCGCTTTGCTCACCTTCATAAAGACTTGAATGGCTTAGATGC